GATCGCCCTAACCGAAAAGGGCGATTGCACGCCGTGTGCAAACCACGACGTGTGCAACGCTGAACCGTTAACGGATTCCGTCTCGTGATATACCACGAACGGTTTCCTGTGACAACACACTTACATCCAATGTATTCTTTCGACCCATTTTTCTGGGGCTCTAGATAGAAACATTTCTGGCTACACATTATATTTTTAGTAAAGAATTTTTTTCTCGAAAATGCATGAGATTTAGGGGATATGTGTATTCACCAAAAATGATTATAATTGGCCCCCGGAATCAGAATTAATTTTTCCAAAATGAGTTGAAAATTTTCAATTTCGCCAGAAAATATCAGCACCTATCCGAATTTTTTTCTCGACTCTGCGTAGGATTTTGAGGGTATGTGTGTTCGCCAAAAATGATTGTAATTGACCCCCACAACCGAAAATAATTTTTCCGGAACGATTTGAAAGTTTTTTTTTCGTCGAAAAATTTAGGCATCTGCCTCCTGTCGATTTTTCTTAAAACTTCCTTTTTGATTTTTAGTACTTTTGTTTGACGCTCTATGGAAAAGTTGTTCAATACTTTTTTGTAGGTACCCATGAGCTCTAGTTCAGAAAAAAATTTCATTGAAATATATTCACCATTGTAGCCGTTATGGCTGTTTGAAAATTGGACCATTTTTATGGGACTTTTCTCACTTTACGGGGTTAAGGAACAAATTTTTGAGTATTCTTAGGATTTCTACATATTCTACACGAAAATACGTGTTGTTTGCATTTTGAAAAATTAAAATCGCCCAATCCGTTCAGAAGTTATGATGTTTTAAACATAGGCATGAAATTTCAGGGAAACATGTCAATGCATGGTCAGACACAATATCTTCGGTAAAAAATTTTTTTCTCGAAAGTGCGTAGGATTTCGAGGGTATATGTGTTCACCAAAAATGATTGTAATTGACCTCCCTAACCGAAAATAATTTTTTCAGAACGATTTGAAAAAATTTTTTTTCACCGGAAAATTTCAGCTCCTACCACCTGTTGATTTTGCTTAAAAATTTTCTTTTTCATTTTTAATAAACACTGCAATGGCTAATCTAACAATACGATTTATTAATCAAAAATAAAATATATAAAATTGCTGCACTTTATTCGTCGACTGTTTAGTATTAACGTCACAGCTGGATGCATGCAGCTGTAACCTCTTTGTTTGTGTGAAATATAATTCGTAACTTATACCGAAAAATAGTCGGGATAAATATATCGGTTATTCGGAATGTTCGTGTCGGATAATTAGAACTCTACTATATTACGATTTTAACGAAAGAAACCAGTTCATGTTTAACATACCAATACGTCAACTGTTACAAACGGGTTGGATAAAATGTTATTGTTTCGTTCTCTCCTGGAGCGTAAGCAGTAATTTTAGAAAACAGTGCGTTAAATTTTCTGCGAAATTGAGGAATAAAATAAAAAATGTGACAAACCACGCGATTAGAGGTTCAATTCGCTCGATAAGCTGCTTGCCAGAATAGGATCGTTTCGTTGGAAAGTTATCGCCGACGAAATATCCGGGGTTACAGGAATTACGAGCGATGGCGTCGAATTCGCGTTCGCCATTAGCGTTAAAATCAGCGGCACGGCCGGAGGGAACGTTCCAATTTTCGAATTGTGATTTTCCGGGGGATCGTTCGACGTATTTCGTAGACGCGCCACCGGACTCCGCGATACGAACGAGCGTCGTCGAACTCGCCCCGGAATGGGCGAGAACACTCTGCCAAATTAAAAACTATGGCAACGGTCCAGCGCGGCTGGCACCGACGCGCCGCACACTTTCGTCTTCCTTTCTTGCATTTCGACCAGATTCAGCCGCGGACCGAATAATCCTCGCAGAAATGCCTGCCATTTTTCCGCCGCGTACGTTTCTGTCGCGCCAGCCATTTTACCCCGCGCGCCCCGTCGCGGAATGACGTATCTTCCGCCGGCGAGTACCTACGTCCTCGACGGTTTAAGCCCTTCATCCATTTCCGGGGCTCGATCGCGAGACTCCGACGCGTCGTTCTTTCTTGGGAAATTGCTTCCCCGGGCTGAAACGCGGAGATGCCATTCGCGTAAACTCTCTGCCAGCTTTTACCCTATAATGGAATGCAGTTTATAAACGTGTGTACGCCCGGCCTATTGCGCTCGACGCGTTTCGAATTCCCGTCTTCGTTTCTCGCATTGTGTCCGCGAACGTGGTCGATTCGTGATTTAAGAGCTCTTTCATCCGACAAATTAACTTTCTTCGTGTATATTTCTCGTGTATCCGGCACAGCTACCCCATTCGTTTGGATTCTTGTCGCGTCTATTTAATCCTTTTTCCTGCCCCGGCGTTCGGAGCTGGTTTCACTTTACTCCGGTATTAGAAAATCACATTAGAAATCATATTAGACGATCCTCCTTACTTCCTTTCCACGCTCTGAATGGTCAGACTTTCTTGCGGGCGAATCAACGCGCGTCGGAACGAGGACAAAGCGAAGAATTTAGTGTCAGAGTTCGACCCTTCAGAAGGAACCGAAATCATTGAAGGGGTTCTGATGAACTATAGAAACGAGCACTGGACGAATAGCTCTCTGTGTCTCTTGTTCATTCTTTGTCCCATTCATCGGTGTCCGTGAAAATCGTTAGACGTTTCACGAACCTTTCAACGTATCCTTATCGCTCATCGAAATGCATAACAATGCACGGTAAATTGCCGAAGTTCGTTACTTGTAAAAAAGAAAAAACGTGAACCGTCCTTCATGGTATTCCCTAATCAACCAATTTGTTTCGAACAGAATATTAATTCTAGTATTTATCGAGAACGGAATCGTGGAAAATTCTTCGACGTCCACCCAGTGTTCCCGATTTCCACGATTTTTCTCGACGAAGTCGCGCGAGTAAAGGTGGAAAAGGATTACGGAATACCTCCACGACTTCGTCCGCTTGATATGCACGCACGTTTTAATGGCGGCCGCATTCATATTCATCCTACCTTTCGGTTCGAACGAGCGCAACGGAAGCTCGAGTTTCTTTTTGATCGCGTACCGGCGCGGCGCTTCAAACACTTTTTCCTTCAATATTTCCCACGGTGCACGTCAGAACCGCGTCAATTTTCTGAAGTAATTGGCTAAGAAACAGAATAATTTCTTAACGCTTCGCTCAAAGGTTCCGTGGGACACATTTTCCTTTCGATAGAAAATTTACGTTTCCACGGAGTTACGGCTAAACAAATACACGAGAAGTGAAGAAATAATTATACTCGAAAAAGGACTGAAACTTTTGCATACGTAAGCCGCTGGGACAGCTGCAATTTCCAAATAATTTTCCTTGTAATTTTCAGAAAATCGTTGCTCGTAATGCTTAACGAATCGCCTGCTTTGCATACCGCGAACGAGCGCACGGGAGAAAACAGCACGCGCAATCGGGCTCGCGGAATCAGCATATCGCGTCGCGGCGCATAAAATGGAGCGCGCGCGACCGCAGAAAATACCGCGAATCGCGCGTCGACCGAATTACTTGTCCTCCCCCGCACCCCTCCCACTCTGAACCGTTTTATCGACGAAATCTGGATAAATGGTCCGCGTTTCGCGGCTTCGTTCGGGGGAAAAGTGAAAAACAACGTTCAGGGTAGACGGGACTCGTCATATTTTCGCGAAACTGAATTGCACGGAATCGAGCGGTGTTAATCGGATTTAATTCGACCAAGGTTTTAAATACACTCTCGGTCTGATCACCAAATAACACGCGATAAAAAGAAACGTAAACTTTCTTAAAATCTATACAGAGGATCATGTATCAAATTATACGTAAAACAGTCAGCGTTGCCATTCAAGACCGAAATGTATCTTTTTTCCACAAACGAGGGCATCTGCTGCTCGACAAAAACTGACCAAACTTGGAAATTTATCAATGAAAGTAAGTCATGCCACTGGGGCATCGTAAATACCCTAGCACTACCCGTCACTTCCCTAGAATTCTCTGCAGACGCGTTACCCGCCAGGATAATTCATAATTCACATCCGATTCGAACAAAGTTTTCCAACTAGTGCGATTTGCCTAATACACTGACGTTCTCCTTTCCACTGTAGTCTGGCTCTTCTCTACGACTCTTGGTTGTTCCGTTGTTCGCATCTCCGATCGTACGATATACAAGGTATCCCACCAAAAAGTGGCCACGCGAACCCTGGACTACTCTACCTCCAAAATTTAGTAATTCAGATTATAAAAATGTGAAAAAGTGATCGATGAAACTTGGAGTCCATGTGGAAACTCACGTGCCCTTGAGAATTATAACTAACTTAATTTAATTTTAACTTATACGATCACAAAAAAGACACAATCGTAAAAGTTAACTGGATAATCTGATAAGTATTTGTATTACTTTATTTCAACTTTGACCAGTACTGATAATATTTGTTCTTTGAATAAAAGAACTTACTTTTCATGTATTATGAAATGTATTCTTTTGATCGATGCTCTAAGCAAATACCTTTGCCTATATAACTATCAAAATTATCAACCTATCTATTTTGTATATACGAGGGCGGTCCGATGAGTACTTAGCCTACAAAAGAAAAACGAAAATTTTGGAAAAGTGGCGATTTATTTATCTACATAGTCTCCTTTCAGCTCGATACACTTGACCCAGCGATGCTCCAACTTCTTTAACCCGTCTGAAACATACGTTTTCTGGAGGTCTGCAAAGTAGGCCTCCGTGGCGGCGATAACCTCCTCATTCGACTCAAATTTCTGCCCGGCGAGTGACTTTTTCAAGTTTGGAAACAAAAAGAAGTCGCACGGGGCCAAATCTGGAGAATACGATGGATGGGGCAGCAGTTCGTAGCCTAATTCGACCAATTTGGCCTTGGCGACGGCGGAGGTGTGAGCCGGTGCGTGGTCATGGTGGAAGAGCACTTTTTTCTTCGCCAAATGGGGCCGCTTTTCCTGCAATTCGGCGTCGAATCGGCCCAATAATCCGGCATAGTAGAGCCCTGTGATCATTTGCCCTTGTCCAGGTAGCCGATGTAGATCACACCTTTTGAATTCCAAGAAACGGTGGCCATCACCTTTCCGGCCGATAGGACAGTCTTCGCCTTCTTCGGAGCACATTCGCCGGGTGAAGTCCACTGTTTCGACTGTTCCTTGGTCTCTGGTGTGTACCAGTGGATCCATGTTTCATCGACGGTCACGAAACGACGCAGAAACTCCTTCGGATTGCGCCTAAACAGCATCAAACACTGCTCTGAAGTGGTCTCACGGTTGCGCTTGTTGTCCGGAGTAAGCAAACGCGGCACCCATCGCGCCGACAGCTTTCTCATGCCCAATATTTCATGCAGGATATGACCCACGCAGTCTTTTGAGATGCCTACTGTCTCAGCTATCTCGCGCACCTTCAATCGGCGGTCTGCCAATACGAGATCGTGAATTTTTTTCACGTTATCCTCCGTGGTAGCCGTTTTCGGGGCACCTGGACGTGGATCATCAAAAACTGACGTGCGACCACGTTGAAACTCGTTAAACCAATTTTTGACGGTCGCCATCGAAGGAGAAGAGTCACCGTACACAGCATCCAAGCGCTCTTTGATTTCGCTGCGCGATTTCCCTTCCAAAAACAAGAATCGAATCACCGACCGATATTGCTCTTTTTTTCATTTTTCTAAAATACGCGGACACACCCGCTTCCACACGCGGTCAAAACAAAACTACGAGTCCGATTCGGCTGAAATTTTGACAGTAGCTGTCTACAAGAATGTACTATACGGTAGTAAATTTCTCTTGCGATCGTGGCGACCATCGGGTGGTGAGGCTAAGTACTTATCGGACCGCCCTCGTATGTAGATTTAACCCTGTATAACCATACGTGTCCAATTACCAACTAATTTAATCCTATTATGAATATGCATAAACGATCATTTTAAAAGAATAGTATGGCCTGCAACAACTATTTTACAATTTCTCGTTCTAGGTTCTGTACAGCAGGAGGTTTGTATTTATTAAAATTTGCCCCTCAGTGTGCATCTTTCCCCGTAGCTTAATTAAGCAAACACCTTTTCCTATTATTTAAAATTGCTAAGGCATTAAGGTGGCCTGCTTCTAACGGAGCGTCCCCTGTATATAAGAACGCACGTCTCTGCGGTTAATTCGGTCCCACTAGGAAACTTTTTAATTCCATTACTCGTTTCGCTGCTCTCGACGGTGGCTCGCTAGTATTCGCGTTCCTGTTGCAAGATGCGTTCTCGAGACGATCGAACGCGTCAGAAAACTGGGTACGCGATAATTGTTTCAACGACCTCGAGGGTTTGCACGAGTGCCTTAACACGCTTCAAAGAAACACACGTTACTACTACAACTCGATTAACCGTTGGTAAACGCTATTTATCCGACTATGAGATATTTCCGTGTTGCAGTCAGCTAATATAGTCTTCGAACTGCAATGGTATCGTTTGAATCGACCATTTATAAATGAAAATTAAAACGTCAAGTTTTGACCGAGTACAAGTCCTAGTCAGACGATGTATTTCTTTCGTTTATAAAATGAAATTATACATGCATATCAGTCATCCATAAATCGTCTATAGAAATAACAAAACAATAAGACTACAACTCGATTAACCATTCATAAACTCTATTTATCCGACTATGAGATATTTCCGTATTGCAGTCAGGTAATATACGAGGGTCGTTCAATATGTCCTTAGAAAATCTTAGAGCTGGTGCTCGTAGCATTGAAAATTTTTGTTTTTAGCAAGCATCATGACTCATTAAACAGCTGTCAAATTCTCAGTTATATCCACCACACGATTTCATTTTTATTGTCCATTGAAGCAAGAAAGTTTTGCTTATTTAAGCAAGCGTGAGTTTCGAGCGGTGATTAAACACTTGTATTTAAAAGGCTTAACACCGAAAGAGATCAAAGCTGAGTTGGATGAAGTTCATGGCACATCTGCTCCTGTGTTTGCAACTATTTACAATTGGGTAAATGAGTTCAAACTATGGCCGTACATCCACAAACGATGAACGTCGTTCGGGGCGTCCAGTGGAAGTGACTACTCCCGAAATAATTGACAAAATCCACGATATGGTTTTGAGTGATCAACGAATCAAAGTGCGCGAAATAGTTGAGGCCACAGGCATATCGCAAGGTACAGTGTTTTCAATTTTGTACGAAAAATTGAGTATGAAAAAAACCTTGGCAAGATGAGTGCCGCGTTTGCTCTCAGTGGCGAATAATCGCAATCGTGTGGTCGACTCTGAGGCTGTTTTGCCGCTTTTTTGTCACAATCCTGATGAATTTCTGCGTCGATAAATAGCTGTGGATGAAACGTGGATACACCACTACACTCCAGAGACAAAGGAATAGTCAAAACAGTGGGTTTTTGAAGGCGAAAGGGCTCCGAAGAAGACGGAGACGGTGAAATCGGCGGGCAAGGTGATGGCCACAGTTTTTTGGGATGCTCGCGAAATCATCTACACCGATTACTTGGAAAAAGGAAAAACAATAACTGGAGAGTATTATGCGTCGTTATTGCGCCGGTTGAGCGAAGAAATCAAGAAAACACATCGTTTTTATTTCTAAATTTTAAAAAATAGCTCGGCGGACAACGGTTCACGTCGAACGAGGAGGTCACCGCCCAAACAGATGCCTATTTGGCGACCTTTCGAAATCTTAATTTTTACGTGGCTTAAAAAAGTTAGAGAAACACTTGGAAAAGTGTAAAAGGAGATTATGTTGAAAAATAAAAAAAAATCTACCTAAAATAATTTGCTTTTCTATCTTTTTCTAAGGACTTATTGAACGACCCTCGTAGTCTTCGAACTGCAGTAGTATCGTTTGAATCGACCATTTATAAATGAAAATTGAAACGTCAAGTTTTGACCCTGTACGATCTATTTCTTTCGTTTATAAAATAAAATTATACATGCATATCCGTCATCCGTAAATCGTCTATGAAAATAAAATCGCTAAATTTATATACCGAAATGTCTTTATGTTATTAAATTCGTATACGAAAATCGTCCAAGTTCCCCATCGAGCAATCGCAATAATAATTTTAATTAATTCGATCGATCGTTCGCATCAAACTTGCTCGAGCGGCTCGAATTGGCTTACCGGATAGCAGAGTGTGAAATTTTCCCTCGAAAATGTTCGTCGCGTTCCTCGTAAATGAAGCGAATGAAGTTTGTTCACGAAGCAGCCGATACGTCGTTATTTATGCTATGTACACGCTGGTAATTTACGGATCCTGTAAAGGCAACTCTGCCTCGGTGGCTTCATAGTAACTTATAATTCAGAATTAAACAACGCGGAAAACACCTTTAGTTGGCCGCAGAATGTAACAGCGTGGCTCGAAAGTTGCTGCCACTTAAGTGTCACGAATTTATGTTCGACGAATGAATGAAAGTTCGCGCAAATAGCGGCGTACGCGCGGCCATTCTTTTACTCGTGACAATGGGGAATCGGATTCGAACTTGTAAATTCACAGAACGCGTCGTTTACTTCAGTCGATACGTTTCAACGTCGCGACGCGTTCCATCGAGTCCCTGAAGAAATCACCGTTCGAGATTATTTCGATGTATCGAGTTGGTCCATACGTTACAGGCACAATTAATTATAAAGTTATGATTAAATTCGTACAGCAAAATATGTTGGAAATGTTCGTTTTTATTAATCTGCAACTCCAAAATTATCGACCACATTTTCCACACTCCAAACGAGGAAAAACAAAAGCCATCAAAATCGAACACATGTTAGAACCACGCCCTGACCGCGCGAAAGATAACACATCTCGTGAATAATATACCGTATCGCCGTTTCGCACGGATTACGTGTAAAATAACGTAACGGGCGTATAAAATTGTCTCGCCACTTTGCAAACAGAATTTCCGCGTGCTCGGAAAGCAGGTCAAATCGAAAACGACAAAAGCAAACGAAATTTTGTCGATGCTGCAGCAGCCACGCCCAGATTGAAACGGCGCTGATTTTGACAACGATTGCGATAAACTGAACGACAACTCGATTTGTGTAACAACGTCGAGCGTTTCTCGCTGTTCGACGCCACTGCGTAGTTGAAAATCATAATTCGGAAATTATCGCGGCAAACGCTAAATGGCAACGTGACGGGGCACATTTTACGCGCGTAGACAGTAACGGTTCCATTGAAACGAAGAACCGGACATTCGTGACAGGAAATAAATAACAATCCTCGAGGTTCGCTCGACAAATTTCCCTCGAGCTTTCCTCAAAGGTTCTTACGTCCTGCGACAAAATCAATCTACGAGTTATTCAATAAGGACGCAAATGCAAGAAAAGTCACGGTTAACGTTAAAGCAACGCTAACGCGTCAGTTTTCCAGATCTAAAGATATCCCTGACGTTTGTTCGAATTACAGAATGAAATTCGATGGCGGTACTGTTATTTTACAGCATAATTAAAGTAGCATTATGTACAATTTCACAATTTCAAAATGAAGACATCAAGGAAATGGCAAGTATAAAATCTTGTATTTCAAATTTTCGTGAATTCTCCTGAACTATCTTCTTCAATATTTTAGGGATTCTGGATAATTATCAAATAGTGATTGCAAAAATCGATCGAACAGAAAAATTTGTAAAAGCGTGAATAACAAAATGCATGATGATGACCACATTCTAGGTATTCTATAGGAAGGAGATAATTCTATAGAGGAAGAGGCCTTTATATGGAACAATCAAAGCCATGCTATGCCCATAATGGATTGTTCTAGATACACTTGCTCGCGAATTTACGAGAGGATTATACAACCTGATAGTCAAAACGTTGTAATAAACTTTAATCGATATTAAAAAATTGCTCGACATTACCAAAGAAGATTTTTACCCCTATCCTGAATACTTAAAATATATAAAAGAAGTTTTAACTATTATTTAGACCTCGAACGAACAGAATTACGTATAATAACACGGACGTGCTATTATACGTAACAATTATAGCTCGTGCACGACATTGTTGCGCATCAGTAAATACTCCAACGTTATAAATAACTATGAATTGGTGTGATGAGTCAAATTTCGGGTATGTCTACGGATCAAAGCACTACATATAATTAGTAGTTAATATACATATAATACATGTATAATTTAACAAGGATATTTATATAAAGGTTGAAACTGGGAAACTTCCGCATACCACTTCCATTTTCAGTCCATTCTGCTACTATGTTCGACAATTACCTGTTAAAACACAGGTTCAGAATTGAACTCGTAATTCTATAATAAAGTGCTATTATTACATCAGTTATAATTACTGTTGCGTCCTACATAAAATTTTCGAAAAACGTTTCATTATGATAATTCCATCTCTGTAAGCTCGCAATTACGTCTCCTCGATTTCTAACCGGCGAATCGAACAACTTCCGCGGAGTTGCGACGTGTTCGCGTGCCCGAGCATCGCACTCTGTACCTCGATTACGTTCGAGTAAGAAAATGGAGCAGCACGGTGGGTGCGGTTCACTTGGTTACGTGGTGTAACACCACTACTTCACAGTGACCGACCAACTCGGTC